CCCCAAAACCCCAAAACCCCAAAACCCCAAAACCCCGTATAAGATTCAGATAAATGATTAATTATATAAAATTTTAGAAATGGAAAGAATGCAAAACGATGGTAAATTATAAGTGACAAAATCCATTAATACCCCAATTCACAAACATTTCTCCAACCCTCTATTCAAAATGACTCTTCATTCCTCATAACCCCCAATCTTACCTTCTTTCACTCTTCCTATACCTTCCCTCACCTCTCCTTTGATACTTCCTTTGCACCCCCTACTGCTCAGCCCTTTGGTCCCTTCAATCTTCACCTCTTGGCTTTATTCCTCTGCTGCATGCCTGGTTTCTCACAGGCTTGTAAATTCCTTCTTAAATAGTTGCTTAAAAATTTGACTTCAAAATGGGCAGATATTCTGTTTAGCTGAGATTTTGGATTTTTTAAAATATCAGTCTAACTTTGATGTAGAAGGTAATGGGAGTAACACAATCTCAAGTTACTATGACCAAAGCTCTGATTCATCCCGCCCCCACGAAGAACACCCTTCCCAACCCTCCGAAATCCTTTCCTTAACTGACATCCCCAACACAGGCGAAAGCCTGTATTATTCCCCTAATGCTGACATCTCTCTGGGCGAGGACAAGTCCAAGCTTGAGTAAGCATCCGACTCAAAAGTCCTTATTATTTTTAGAGAAGAGAAAAGTGAAGTTGAGTCTGAAGAATCTGAAGATACAGAGACCAGTGAAGAAAGTGAGGATGGACTAGCAGAGATTGAAGGTAGGCTCTTTGGAGTGTGAGGGTTATAGGTGTTGAAGAGGAGATGAGTGGAATAGAAGTGGTAGATGAGCTGGTAAGGAAGGTAGAGAGAATGCAGGAGTTGAGGAAGAGACCGGATGATGCGAAAGGGAAGGTGAATAAGGCTATTAAGAAGGCTCTGAAGAGGATAAAGACTGAGGAAGGGAATTATGTGTTGGGAATTAATGGAGATGCTTTACTGAACTCTTTTTGGCAAGCTCTAAGAAAGACAGATTTTGGTAAGAAATGCACTTATTCTTCTATTATAGACCACATCTGCACAACCTACGAAGCTTACTCCTCTACCAACAAATTTTACAAACTCCTTAAGGTACTTCTTTCCCTCACTCCTTACAGAAACAAGAGGATCAGACAAAGAAGATCAAGAAAGGTAAGCCAAAACTAGGGTTTCCCTAATTTGTTCTTCACTTTAAAAATATCATCTTGTTGTTAAATCCCTCTAACTCCTGGTATAGAGTGTGAAAAGAGCAAGAACAAATCTGAAAGTTTCAAGGCAGGAGTCGGCCGGAAACTTAAAGACCTGAAAGGTGTACTGGAAGAGAAGAAACTCAATGGAGAGATGCTAGCCCTAGTTCTAGATAGTAGTATTAAACAGAGAATGTGGCAGAAGACGGGAGTGGAAGGGTATTTTAGCAGTGTAGATAATAGAGAATTGGTGGAGAAGCTAAGAAATCAGATTATTAAGGACTTTATGACTAAAGGTAAGAGTTGGGAAGAAATTGATCTTGATTCTTCAAGATTGGAGTTTAGGAATATTGCTGAAGCTATTAATCATTGTTAATCTCTGCCTTATAGCTTGCACCAAATCTTTATCTCGGAAAGAATTTACAAATAAACTACAAACTATTTTCGAGAAAATTTCCCTTCATCAAGAGAAAGTTTTAGACATCATACTGAAGCAGGCAAAGATCATTCAGAAAGAATATAATCAACCAGGTATAATAAAACCATTGCCCTTTGCTTATAAATACTATAGACCAAGCACAGAAGCCAATGGCTGTTGATTCTTCAAACGCTGAGTTAAATGTACTCCAAAAAGGAAAAGAAGACTTAGAGATGAAGCTACAAAAGACTATTGAAGAGCATTCAAAGGAGATTTCTGACTTCAAAGCTAAAAATTTACAGCTAAATGAAGAGAAAAATGACCTGGAACAGAAAAATAAACAGATACAGAATGAGACATCCAAAACAAATGATCTTAAAGCAGAAGTAATCTCAAAGATGGACTTTAAATCAAATTTTAGAGCTTAATAAGATTGTTGCTTAGTTTTTAATCACTTATTATAGATAGAAAGACTACAATCAGAACTAGCCCAAGAGAAAAAGCAAAAACTTATCAAAGACAAAGCGAATGAAATCTTAAAATCCAAGAACGATCAATTACAGACCGATTTAAAGAAGATGGAGGAAGTTAGTAAAGAGAATTCCTCAGAATCCCCTTCTGAAGCTCAAAATTCCACCTCACTATCCACTCTCCAAAGGTACTTGCCCATCTCCCCTCTCTCACCTCCACTCTAGTGAAAACGCTTGTTTAAAAACCAATCTCGCAGCAGCCAAGGCTAAAATCGAAGAGTACTTTTTACCTAATTCTTTAGGCTTGAGTTATCCAAAACTGATCTTTCTGACCAACTAGAGGTAAGTAGTCTCTTGGATTTGTGTCTAATGTATTTGTGTAGAGTTTTAAGTCAGATTACTTGGAGATGACAGCTGAGGTTAAGCAGTTTGAGAGCCAGTTTAAAGGACTGATGGAGGAATGTGAGGAAAAGGAGGAGAATGAAGAAATTGAGGAGATTGAGGGATCAGAAGAGGAGAGAATTAAGTAATTGAGTTTAGTGAGTCAAGATTAGGATGTGTTGGGGTTTTGGGGTTTTGGGGTTTTGGGG